GGTCGGTGATATAATTATAATAGCAGGATAAACCAAAGGTTAATGGGGAAGGAAGAATAGGAAACCCAAATGAGATGCGGTAAAAAGAGGAATGAAAAGGGAAGAAATAAGAAAGGGCACAGTGGTGTAACGGGGTCGTACTCTCACACTTCCCCCCCTCAAAGCTGGATGGTAGAAGTAACACCCTGCTTGACAAGGTAGTCATGCAGAGGACGACGGGCGTTACCCATGTCGGACTCAGGTACCCAGCTGTCCTCAGAAGGATCATAACCCTTCCAACGGATGAGAAGCTCCACGGTGCCATTCCGACGACGACGATGTGCAAGCACGGACTCGACCTCGTACTCGGGTTCGTTCTGGACGAGGACGGGCGGCGGCGGCGGCGGCTGGCGTCCCACGAAGATCGCATATTGTGGCACGAACCTGTTGTAGTAATTAGCGAAGCCTAGGAACTGCTGCAACTCCTTCACGTTCTCGGGTGTCTTCCACGTACGTACGGCTTCGATTTTCTTGGGGTCGACGTGAACTCCTTGAGCGCTCACCAAGTGCCCTAGGAACTGGACCTTTTCAAGGGCGAATTCGCTCTTGGACAGTTTGACGTAGAATCGTTCCCGTCGAAGAATTTCGAAGACGCGTCGCAGGTGTTCGACGTGCTGCTTCATGTCGCGCGAGTAGATGAGTATGTCGTCCAGGTACACTACCACGCATTCGTCCAGAAGTGGTCGTAGAATGTGGTTCATTTCGGCTTGGAACGTTGCCGGCGCGTTGGTGAGTCCGAACGGCATGACCAAATACTCGTACGATCCGTACCGAGTTCGGAAAGCAGTTTTGTGGATAGAGTTGTCCGCCATCCGTATCTGCCAGTATCCGGACCGCACATCCAGTTTGGAAAATACCGTAGCTCCCCGAAGCTGGTCAAGCAGGTCATCGATTCGCGGTATCGGATATTTATTCTTGATGGTCTGCTTGTTAAGGGCTCGGTAGTCGATGCACATGCGCAGGCTTCCGTCCGGTTTCGGTGTGAAGAGTACTGGGGCACCGTACGGCGAAGTGGATGGCCGGATGAGTCCTTTGGTTAGGAGATACTCGATCTGTTTTTTCATGTCAGTCAGCTCCGTAGGGCTGAGCCGATATGGTGCTCGGAAGGTCGGCTTCGAACCCGGTTCCTCCACGATCTCGTGTTGATGCGTTCGGTATGGCGGTAACTCGTTCGGAAGATCGTCCGGAAGAATGTCTTGGAACTCCTTCAGTAATTCCTTGATTTTTTCTGGAGTTTCCGAGGCTTTCTCTCCGTCCTTCTCCACCTCTGTTGCTATCGCCAGGAACCCGGTATCGGTCCGCTTCACGTCCTTCTCGAATCGTGCGAGTGTCTCCACTGGGATATCTCCAGTATCGTCCCAGTTGGGTAGCCGTACTCTCCGTCCATTGTTGTAGATGCTTGCGGTGCAGTTTACCCAGTTGATCTCGGGGTTGAATCTTTTCAGGAAGTCTCGCCCGAAGATCAAGTCAAGCCCTTTGATGTTGGTGATGGGGAGTGCAGGTCTCCAGCGCAGTGGTCCGATTTGTAGGTGTAGCACTGCTTCGCCGTGTACTGGTCACTTGCTGCCGTCCACCATCGTTGCAGAGAATCCTGAAGGCTTGTACTCTTCCCGAAGTCGGTCGATCATTGCCTTGTCGCAGACGGTGTGTGACGCTCCGCTGTCCACGAGTGCTTTGAGGCGTCGTCCTTTGCAGATGACCTCGAGCACGAGGGGCAGTCGTTGCTCGGAGTACCCAAAGATAGTTTCATTGATTGGGTCATAGGGTACATCCCAATATTCCGTACACACCTTTGTGTTGCTGTCTACCCCTGAGCTGGCAGCTGGCCGAGGCTGCTTGGAGAACGGCTCTTCTCCAGGGCCCGGAGTTTTCCTGACGACTGTGCGCGTCACTGATGCCGAAGAACTGGATGCATCCGTAGGAGGAGTTCGGGGTTGGTGCAGCTTCTTGTAGACCCCCAGCTTCCTCTTGAGTTGCTTCAGCTCCACCGACGTCTTCCCTGGGGAACGGGTAGTCGTTGTGGGCTGGTGTCGGGAGAGGACGTTGACTCCGTGGAAAGGTCGGCTTCTTTCCACACTCCTTAATTTGGTCCCCAGGTTGTCCGGTACCGGTATAATCTCCACAGCTGTCTGCTTCTTTTGGAGTCCCTCCCGAAATTTCTCCAAGGCTCTAGCCCCTCGAATATCATAAGTTTTCATTAAAGCATCTTTATAAGATAACTTTAACGAATTCTGATAATTTCTTGGGTCTTCAAGGAGTTTCCCTGTCTCGGCAGAGTCTTTTTTCGCGGAGTCGTATTTTTCCTCGGCGATTTTCCCTGGCGAAGACTGGTCGTGGGGTGGAGATTTTTCCCCATCATTTCCTCCTTCTCGCGTCGAATCAGCTTCGTCGAAGTTGATTTTTCCGGAATCCCGCGGCCGCTTTCGGATCTTTTTATTTTCGCCAGCTAGATCCGCAATCACTGGCGACTCCCGTTTTTTGTCTTCTGATTGGCCGAAAGATTTCCGCCACTGTTGCGTGCCCGATACTCTGCGCGTGCGGCCTTCATTTTGTTGCAGTCGAAGATTCGGTGGCCCGGCACCCCGCAAAAATCACACGTGTAGTTGGTGTTTTTCGGACGTGGCCGCCCCTCGAATCTGTCGACTTCCATCGGGTCGGCGAACGTGGGGTGAGCCGAGCGGTCGCCCTGTCGCGTACTGTCGACGTGCGTCCGTCGTGTTCCGGCGTTGACCATGTCGAAGCGCTCCGCTGCCGAAACGACGTCACTGTAGCTCGCGTAGTTTGACGCTGCGACTTGTCGTTTGACTTCGGTCTTCAGCCCGGCGAGGTACGATTGTACTTTTTCCCCTTCGGTCAGGTCGGGAATGCGGTTATAAAATTCCTCCATCTGCTGCGTGTACTGCGCTACACTCCCGAACTGTCGATGACGATGAATTTTTTCCCGGGCAAGGAAACTCGAATTTATCGGTTCGAAGCGTTTCAGCAGGTCGGCGCGGAACTGCTGCCACGTGGCTTCACCGTGGATGAAAGTACTGTTGCCGCCAATCCACTCGAGTGCCGGCCCTCGCATCAGTGTCGCCGCGAGTCGTACGCGTTGACCGTCCCAGACTGGCGAGCTCCATCCGACGGCTGCAAAGTAGATCTCCATCCCGGCGATCCATCTGCGGGCATCGGAGTTTCGATCGCTCGGATCGAACGGCTCAGGTGGGCGCGGTTTCGGAGCCTCGAGAAACTGCTGCGACTGCTGCGTCGTCGCCGTTGTCGTCTCGTGCTGCGCTCCGGCGAGTCGAGTTACTCGCTCGAACTGGTTTCGCCACGCTTCGCGATCCGCTCGCATTTCCTCCTGAAGGGCTGCGATGCGCGCGAAGAGCTGCTGGGTAACCTCGGCGTTGTCGAAGGTTGCCATCCTGTTCAAAACACGCACGGAGGGGGTAATTTGAAAATCGCGGAGCTGGTGCTTACCAGAATCGGCGTCGAATTGGTCGCCCCCGACGGTTTTTCGAGGCCGGATCCCCGCTGCTGCTGCTTAGCTGAGCGCGGCCGAGTGAGAAAAGCTCTGATTACCAAGTGTTACAGGATCGAATGTGTCGAGGAAAGGTTGCACTATCGATCAGTACAAGGCGCTTTTATACTTCCAAAGTACATCAGGTAACCAGGTTTATCTTATCCTAAGGGAATAGACCCTTCTAGAAATAGAATCACCCTGCGTATAGCCACGCGAGGCTATTGGCTTTAAGGGATTACGGCAGGATTACGCTAGATATAGCGCACCAGTACATCCCAAGCCTGGTCGGTGATATAATTATAATAGCAGGATAAACCAAAGGTTAATGGGAAAGGAAGAATAGGAAACCCAAATGAGATGCGGTAAAAAGAGGAATGAAAAGGGAAGAAATAAGAAAGGGCACAGTGGTGTAACGGGGTCGTACTCTCACACAGACGCTTCTTGGGCAGATGACTCTGAGACGCTCAGGTCGTCGCAGGGCTACTGTTTTAGCCTTGGTTCGGGTGCTATCTCTTGGAGATCCACTCGCTCGTCGTCTGTGGCTCAGTCCAGTTGTAAGGCTGAGATCTACGCTGGTGCCATGGCGGCACAGGAGCTCCGCTGGCTGACCTTCTTGCTCACAGACTTAGGTGAGCGGCCCAGCTCTGCCCCGGTCCTGTACGCTGACAACAGGGCCATGATACTCCTGTGTCGGGAGCCTCGGCTTGAGGGCAGAGCGAAGCATATCTAGCTGCGGTACTTCCTCCTGCGCGAGCTACAGCAGCGCCGCCAGGCCCGCGTAGTTCACTTGGCCTCAGGTGCCAACACAGCTGATATCTTTACTAAGGCGCTTGCGCCTAAAGATCATCAGCGGCACTGTGTACAACTTGGTCTTGTTCCTGTAGCTACTCACCTGTTAGGATCCTGATTGTGTACTCTCTATTATATATACCTGTTAGACTGGCCTTGTGGCCTCACCTCCAGTGGTCGGACTAGTAGTGCCGCCCTGGCTTGCTTTAGTCTTGTTTGTACTCTTGCTGACTGGTCTCCAGACCCCTGCCTCAGTGGTTGGACTAGTAGTGCCACCCTGAGCTGTTTGCTTCTTGCTTAGCTTCACCCCTTGTCTAGCCTAGAGGGTGTGTTAACTTATACATATTAGCTATGTAGAAGTTATAGGCTAGACTGGGGTATGCTTCTAGTGAGTACAACCAACTAGTATTTGTTCTAGGTTTCTCCCTCTAGTTCAATTCATTCAGTTCTTACTTTGACACTCGCCAATTCCTGATATCGGTGTTTTTGTGGGATACAGGTATCAGACTCGGCTTTGTTTAGGCAGTTCCTGATATCTGTTCAGTAGGAATACACCCTCAATGTCAAAGGTGGCTGCCTCATTCTTCAAAACGTCATCATCAAGACAGTGCCTCTGAAACTGTGAAGCAGCCAAGTCATAACGCCGAATGACCCGTCTGCATTCTACATGTTACGGGGTGGTTTACTGTTCACAGGGTATTTACTACTTCGTGAGTCCAAACTTCTTCATAAGTGCCGAGTCTCTGAAGCTGTAGGACAGCCATTTCATGATGCGGAATGACCCCAGCAGTTGAGACAAGTGAGCCCTATTTAGGAAGTCCAAATTTCTTCATTAGCGCCGAGTCCCTGAAGCTGTAGGGCAGCCATGTCATGATGCGGAATGAGCCCACCAGGTGCCCAAACGCCCATTCAATAGGCACCCTCTTGGCCAAGGCTTTCTGGAGGGTGGAGGGGTGGGGGTGGGGAAGAGTGAGAGGACAAGTACAAGGAGTCTCTGAAGCTGTAGGGCAGCCATCACATGATGCGGAATGACCTCACCAGGCACCCAAACGCCCACTCTATAGGCACCCTCTTGGCCAAGGCTTTTTGGAATGTGGGGGAGGGGGAAGGAGGGGAAGGATGATACAAAGAGGAGGGAAACAAGTTAAGTGTGGGTGGCTATAAGGCCACCATGCCATAACACGGAATGACCCCACCACCACGTGCCCAAACGCCCACCCTATACGAACCCTCTCCTTCCCCCACATCATCTCACCCCCACTAGAGCCCAAGTGAATACGTCTCCTGGTGTGGACTGTGGTATTTGTGATGCGCCTGCACTGGCCTCTAACTAGTGTGCACATGCACATCGAGGCATACACACATGTGTCCGAACCCACTCATTTCCTCACCAACGCACCTCCACTTACGCCCTCACGAGCACGTTTTCCGGTGTGAACTGAGGGGTGTGAGAGGCGCCCGCCCTGGCCACTATCTGCTCACCCATTAGCAGAACGCACACATCTCCTCACCCTTTGCTGTGCACCCACACATTTCTTAAGAGACTCACCTCCACCAACGTCCTTGCGAACACGTCTCCTGGTGTGGACTGAGGCATCTGAGAGGCGCCTGCTCTGGCCACTCTCTGCTGTGCATGCAGACATCTCCCCACTCACTGTTGTGAACCCACACATGTCCCAAGAGAGACTCACCTCCACCAACGCCCTTGCGAACACGTCTCCTGGTGTGGACTGAGGGGTCTAGGAGGCGCCTGCTCTGGCCTCTATCTGCTTCTGGAATCGAGAGAAGATCTTGAAGGAATGCTAAAGCGAGAGCGCTGGGAAAGTGTGGAGCGATTCCGGCAGAGTAACACTATTCGAATAGCGTGCTAGGCACTGGTGGCAGTTGGGCAGAGTTTGCCTTAAAGTACTTGGTCAAAATTCGATTAGAGTAGAAGTTCACTAGAAACATATATATCCAAAGTACAAATAAGCATGCAAATATATAGGCAAGTGCAAACCCAACCAAAGTTGCGTGGCGCTGCGGGTGTAACCAACCACACCAAATTCGCCGAAGTGTTGGGCAAACGCGCCTCGCCCAATTCTCCAACCCAACTCAGCAAGGTTGGGTTTGCCGTGTACGCAACTCCAACCAGCAAGGCAAAACGCTGCCTTGCTCCTCACGATCGCCACGACTACGTATGACTCGTCAGAGTCACTGGTCGTTGTGAGCATCTCCGGACTAGTCCACACAAACTAGACATAGTCGTCGGACGCAACGGTTAGTCCGTGCACCTTGGTCACGCCAGCCCGCAGCTGCCAGGCAATCGGTGCACCGACATAAGTCGGTCAACGCCTGGCTGCCCGCAGCTGCAGTAGGGCTTTCAACAGATCTTCAGCTGCAGGTGGGAGACTGACGAGGATGAGTTACCGCCAAAGTTGGACATGGGGAGGAGTGGGACGGGTGGTAGAGGGGGTGATCATTAATGGAACTATCATTAATCAGCTCCACAAACGCCGCCCGATCTCCCATCAAGTGGTGGGAACATCCACTGTCCAAAAGCACAACACTCGGGTTGGCTTTCACAGCAGCTGCAACAGCCTGCAAGCCTTCCCCGGCCTTCGGTTCCAATAAGATCGAAGACTGCTGCGCTAGGATTGGTTCCACCATCGCGCAGGTGGACTGCCTTCCGCCCCCCGAACTGCTGCCCTCCTTGCAGTTGCCGCCACCCCCACTCCCTTGCCCCTTCTGCGCTACCTTGTCCTTGCGCTCTGGGCAATGGAAAGCGACATGCCCTGGCTGGCCACACGAATAGCATTTCCCCTTGAAAGGCTTTCTCCCCTCTTTCTGCACTTCCCCCTTCGCCCCTTTTCCCATCCCCTCTCCTTCTCCACCCCCGCTTGACTGCTTCGCCGATGGCTGTTGCCCAGGAATGGATGGGGAAGGGGCAGGAAGCGTATCTTGCTTTGGGAGGACTGATGGCTTGCCAAACCTCTTTGGGAAGGTCAGGTTTGCGTGGGGAGGGAAGAAGTCCTTTCGCCCTTCTGCCGCCAAGGTACATTCCTCTTCTATGATATAACTAGCGAGGGTGTCGTCGTCTAACTCGCCGCGCACCTGCGGCAGCTTCAACATACGACGTAAGAGATTATACTGCTGCGGTAACCCCTTTACGACGTGGGTAATGTACGACGCCTGCGAGTAGTCTATGCCGGCCATTCTGAGATTTACGAAAAGCTGCTGTGCACGGTTGCAGTAAGACGTGGCGGACTCGTGCTCGCCCATCTCGAGGTTAGTGAGCGCTTGCTCTAACTGACCTAGATACAAATTGTCCTTCGCCATGTACGTTCGCATGATGAACTGCCAGGCTTGCAACCCGGCATCTACCTTCAAGCGACATGCTTTAAGGGCGACTTGCACTTGGGGGGAGCAACAACGAGAAATGGTCGTAAACGTCAGTAACTGAGCAGCTCGGAATTGCGAGAGAAGTGCTACTCCGTGCTTCGGAGGAGTAGGGGTGGAGCCGTCGATAAAGCGTTTGAGCTGAGCTATCTCGAGCTGGGGCTCAATCGATTCTACCCAGGATGACAGGTCGTGACGCCCTTCTAACGGCCTAGGCACGGCGATCTTGTCTGGAGTGAATTTAAAGTAGCCATAGTCAAGTGCTATCCCGACGTCTCTTACCGCAGAGCTTTGCGGTATAATGCCGGGCATAACGTCACTATTGCGCTCCTCTACATGTCCTTCTCCAACAACGCTTCGCCGCCCTATCTCGTCGCGCTCGCGCGATGCTGCCGCTTGATGCACACGCTCCTGAACGCCACCCATACTAGCAGTGCTACCGTGTACATTTCCTCTGAGAACGCCACGAGCGAAACGCCGCTCGCTCGCCACACTAGCTCTATCTTCATCGTCGCTAGCCGTCACTGACGCACCTTGCGGAATTCTAGACTACGCGTTCTCCGCTACCGGAAGAGAAGGGTGGTCACGTCGCCACCTCGCTCGAATCCCTTCCAGCATTAGCTCATAATCCTCGTCATTAATCTCTCCGCGAGAACGACGCGTGTGCAGAATCTCCTCTAGCTCGTGCAGTTCAGTGACGTCAACATTCGCCTCCTCCGCGTTCGCCATTACTGCGACCTTTCTACAGACCAACTATCAGCTAGTATAAACTGCTATTTACTTAAGTCCCTCGTCTCGGGGTCACCTCACAAGGGTCCTCAGGCGAATGGTAAGTAAATACCAAAAGCCCTATCCTTGGGTCCGAGAACGTAACTGGAGGGAAATTAAATAAATCGCAACTTACACCAATGATAGCCCTCTGCTATAGCTGCAGCCTCCAAGACGAACGAACGAACGTAGTAGATCGATGACGGTGAAAATTGATAACGCGCGCATGTTCGTTCCACACCACACCATGAAGGAATGCTAAAGCGAGAGCACTGGGAAAGTGTGGAGCGATTCCGGCAGAGTAACACTATTCGAATAGCGTGCTAGGCACTGGTGGCAGTTGGGCAGAGTTTGCCTTAAAGTACTTGGTCAAAATTCGAGTAGAGTAGAAGTTCACTAGAAACATATATATCCAAAGTACAAATAAGCATGCAAATATATAGGCAAGTGCAAACCCAACCAAAGTTGCGTGGCGCTGCGGGTGTAACCTACCACCCCAAATTCGCCGAAGGGTTGGGCAAACGCGCCTCGCCCAATTCTCCAACCCAACTCAGCAAGGTTGGGTTTGCCGTGTACGCAACTCCAACCAGCAAGGCAAAACGCTGCCTTGCTCCTCACGATCGCCACGACTACGTATGAATCGTCAGAGTCACTGGTCGTCGTGAGCATCTCCGGACTAGTCCACACAAACTAGACATAGTCGTCGGACGCAACGGTTAGTCCGTGCACCTTGGTCACGCCAGCCCGCAGCTGCCAGGCAATCGGTGCACCGACATAAGTCGGTCAACGCCTGGCTGCCCGCAGCTGCAGTAGGGCTTTCAACAGATCTTCAGCTGCAGGTGGGAGACTGACGAGGATGAGTTACCGCCAAAGTTGGACCTGGGGAGGAGTGGGACGGGTGGTAGAGGGGGTAGGGGGATATTGAGCGGCCTCTATCTGCTTTTGGAAGCGAGATAAGATCTTCAGCTGCAGGTGGGAGACTCATTAGGAGGAGTTACCTCCAAAGTTGGATCTGGTATGGTATGTGAGGGCAGTGGGGGGAAGGGTGGTAGGGGGGGGATGGAGCTGATGAGTGGCCTCTCTTCGCTTCTGGAAGCGAGAGAGGATCTTCAGATACAAATGCGAGACTGAGGATGAGGAGTTACCACCAAAGTTTGACCTGGGATGCGATGGGACGGGTGGTGGGGGGTTAGGGGCTATTGGGCGGCCTCTATTTGCTTCTGGGAGCGACAGATGGTAGTTGAGCTGCATTTGGGAGACAGAAGATGAGGATTTACCACCGAAGTTGGACCTGGAATGTGGGGGAGGGGATGGGTGGAGGGTGGCAAGTGGGACAGTACGATGGTCAAATAGCTAAAAACTGCGTCGAAAAGCGTGGAGAAGATCTGGAGCTGCAGGTAGGGCGTGATTTGAGGGGGGTTACATACCCGTTGCTCCCAATGCTGTCGACTGTCACTCATATACCTGATCACACTGGGAGCAACGATCATGACGCGGGGTTTTACAACAAATCTCCCAAGCCAGTCTTACCTGATGGCGCCCAGAGCAACGGGCATGACTTGGATACCAAAGGGCTTCAGCTCCATCCTCAGGGCATGAGTGATGCTGTGCACAAGATTTCTTTTCTATGCAATATTATTTATCTCTAAAAAAACAGTCTTCTACCAAGCCTGCTGCCACATATGGCCAAAACCACCACCAAGTGGTGCTCCCTTCAGCTCTATCCTCAGGGCATGAGGGAAGCTGTGCACTGCTGCCAAGGGTAGTCCATTCAAGACATCTCAATAACAGCCTCTATTTACGTCACCATACCTGATAGCCCCTGGAGCCACGAGCATGACTTGGATAACGAACGGCTTCAGCTCCATCCTGAGCGCGTTGCGCGATGCTGTGCACTGCGGCCTTGGCCGCACAGCAGGTGCCCCCTTACGAGGCATCACCACAACTGTTTCGTACCTGATCGCCCCTGGGGCAACGAGCATGACTTGGATTCCAAACGGCTTCAGCTCCATCCTGAGCGCATGGGAGATGTTGTGCACCGCTGCCTTGGCCGCGCAGTAGGTGCCAGCAAAGGGGGTGGTGATCCACGCTGACACCGACCCTATGTTGACAATCTTGCCAGTACCCTGGACATATGAAATGGAGGGAGGGAGCATGGGAGGGAGGGGGGACGTGCTGTTCACCGCTACCTTGGCCGCTCAGTAGGAGCCAGCGAAGAGGGTGGTGATCCACGCTGACACCGACCCTATGTACACCACCTTGATGACGCCGCTACGCTGGGGATAGGAGATGGGGGGGAAGTATGGGAGGAACGTGGCACGTGGAAGGTATTGGAGATCAAAGATGCACGAGACCTCGATCCGAGATGGAACGGGACTTCAGAGGCATCTCTGCCATGGGATGGGACGAACGCAGCCTGCCCTGTACTCGTCGTACCTATCATCTCCCTTTCATCTCCCTGTCATCTGCCTGTCATCTCCCTGTCATCTCCCTGTCATCTCCCTGTCATCTCCCTGTCATCTCCCTTTCATCTCCCTGTCATCTCCCTGTCATCTCCCTGTCATCTCCCTGTCATCTCTCTGTCATCTCCCTGTTATCTCCCTGTCATCTCCCTGTCATCTCCCTGTGAACTCCCTGTCATCTCCCTGTCATCTCCTTGTCATCTCCCTGTCATCTCCCTGTCATCTCCCTGTCATCTCCCTATCATCTCCCTGTCATCTCCCTGTCATCTCCCTGTCATCTCCCTGCCGTCTCCCTGTCACCTCCCTGTCATCTCCCAACCATCTCCCTCTCATCTCCCTCTCATCTCCCTCTCATCTCCCTGCCATCTCCCTGTCATCTCCCTGTCATCTCCCTGTCATCTCCCTGTCATCTCCCTGTCATCTCCCTGCCATCTCCCTGCCATCTCCCTGTCATCTCCCTGTCATCTCCCTGCCATCTCCCTGTCATCTCCCTGTCATCTCCCTGTCATCTCCCTGTCATCTCCCTGTCATCTCCCTGTCATCTCCCTGTCATCTCCCTGCCATCTCCCTGCCATCTCTCTAGCATCTCCCTCTCATCTCCCTCTCATCTCCCTCTCACCTCCCTGCCGTCTCCCTGCCATCTCCCTGTCATCTCCTTGTCATCTCCCTACCATCTCCCTGCCATCTCCCTGCCATCTCCCTCTCATCTCCCTGCCATCTCCCTGTCATCTCCTTGCCATCTCCCTGCCATCTCCCTGCCATCTCCCCGCCATCTCCCTCTAATCTCCCTCTAATCTCCCTCTCATCTCCCTCTCATCTCCCTCTCATCTCCCTCTCATCTCCCCCTCATCTCCCTCTCATCTCCCTGTCATCTCCCTGTCATCACCCTGTCATCTCCCTGTCATCTCCCCGTCATCTCCCGTCATCTCCCTGTCATCTCCCTGTCATCTCCCTGTCATCTCCCTGTCATCTCCATGTCATCTCCCTGTCATCTCCCTGTCATCTCCCTGCCATCTCCCTGTCATCTCCCTGTCAACTCCATGTCATCTCCCTATCATCTCCCTGTCATCTCCCTGTCATCTCCCTGTGAACTCCCTGTCATCTCCCTGTCATCTCTCTGTCATCTCCCTGTCATCTCCCTGTCATCTCCCTGTCATCTCCCTGTCATCTCCCTGTCATCTCCACGCCATCTCCCTCTCATCTCCCTCTCATCTCCCTGCCATCTCCCTGTCATCTCCCTGTCATCTCCCTGCTACACCTAATAAAGAGGCATCTCTGGTCTGACGTTGTAGTCTCATCTACTACACCATGTGAGGAACCACAGTTTGGGTAACAGGTTGCAATCCAAGGACATTCGTCTCCATGCTGTTTCGGAATGCATCCATGGGGCCAAAGCGGCCCGCCTTCACTGTCATGTCATTGTGGGAGCTCTCCATCGCCTCACCTGCTCCACCATGCGGGGGACCACCGCTTGCGTAACAGCTAGCACCCCAACAACCTTGGTCTCCATGCTGCTTCGGAATTCATCCAGAGGCACGACGAAGAGGCATCTGTACTGTAAGTTGAGCCATCGCCTCACCTGCTCCACCATGTGGGGAACCACCACTTGTGTAGCAGCTAACAACCCAGCAACGTTGGTCTCCATTTTTCCTCGAAACGCATCCAGAGGCATCTCCGCCATGGGGTCAAAGCACCCCGCACCTGCGTTGTTCACCAGAATGTCTATCCTGCCAGCCTGCACACATGAGCAAGGGGACAGGTAGATAGAACCGTCTTTTTGCTCTTGAGCCGCCTCAAGCGCGTCCAGAGGCATCTCCGCCATGGGACCAAAGCACCCCGCGCCTTTGTTGTTCACCAGACTATCTATCCTGCCCGCCTGGGCAGGCAGGAAAAGTACGGGAGGGAGAGACGGAAAGGAGAGAGAGAGAAGCACAATTCTCCTTGGGGACCTCGATGGATTCAAAGACTAGGAGAGGAATAGCTTGCACAATGAGAAAATATTTTCCTGTTAACAAATCGCTCAAAACACACATGTGATGTAATTCAAAATGTAAAAAAAAAAAAAAAAACAAACAAACAAACAAACAAACGCCTTGGATATGACTGTGCTGACGGCTTCCTGAATGGATGCAGTGGACGTCACATCTAGCTGCTGCACCGTCTCAATCTAAATGGAGGCAGCTGATACTGTATCAACCTGGCCCCTTGGAGTTCAAACGTCACCTTGGATATGGTTGTGCTGATGGCTTCCTGAATGGACGCAGTGGACGTCCCATATAGCTGCACTGTCTCGATTCAAACGTCACCTTGTGTTATCAGCTTCCGGAATGGAAGCAGTGGGGACGTTGTATCAAGCCGCACAGTCTCGATTCATACTCACCTTGGATACGATTGTGCTGACAGCTTCCTGAATGGACGCAGTGGACGTCACGTCTAGTTGCACCGTGTCGATTCCCAACCCTGGGAAGGAGCAGTCTAGGGCGCGCTACGCGAAGACCTGAAGAGCGAGGTCAAAGGTTTCTCCTCGCCAGCGCGCCAAGCACCTCACTTGCTGCCCGTTGCATTTAGTGCACATCTCGCTTCCCACACCTGCTTCGCGCAGCTAACACTGCGAGAGCGATGCCCGCCTTCTGCATTCCCTCTTTCCCGCCATACCCGTTGCAGCATACTATAATCGCCTCCCCTATCACCCGCATCATGTCATACCAAAAACCCCGCCCTATCGCAGCGCCAATCCCTCCCTAACTCGTCATGTCACATCACCTAGCTCGGGTGATGTGACATGACGAGTGCAGAATACACTCTAACTCAAGACAGACCTAACTCAAGACGAGTTAGGGGAGAACAGGCAAGGAGAGGGAGGGACGACACGACAGAGTGCGTAGAGTCTATTTTTGAGGCACCTAAAAAACAGAAGCAGGGGAGAAGAGACAAGGAGAGGGAGGGACGGCAGGACAGAGTGTGAGGAAAGGAAGGAGAGGCATGTAATATGAAGGGAGGCATGTACTCTGAAGGGAGGCATGTAATCTAAAGGGAGGCATGTAATCTGAAGGGAGGCATGTAATCTGAAGGGAGGCATGTAATTTGATTCGTGAGCAGTCGCATGCGAGATCCTGCACAAGGTTTGCGTAAACCAGATGAACTTAAGGCATCTGATTTCTAGTTTTCCACAAGAAGTGAGTAGCTCACGCACGACCATCTTATACCAACCAGATTCTGCCAGGGTTAATTCTGATGCGAGGAATGGATTACTGACACCTGATGCGAAGAAAAAAAACTAGGCTCCGTGCGAATCGATGGTCAGCGATGACGAATAGGGACATGTTCCGGAGTGCAGAATACACTCTAACTCAAGACAGACCTAACTCAAGACTCAAAGGTTTTGAGTTGTACTATGCACGAAAACATACGCGACAGAAACACAGTAACCAAATACACACCCGAGGGGTGCGATTGTGAGTTGGGGGGTTTCTGAAGGGCTGTGTGACGACGGAACCAAACCAATGACGGAACAAGCAGAGCCTTTCCCCCACCACACCAAGATCCAAAGCTTTTGCTTTTTACTCTGTACTCAATGGACATGGCTCCTTCCCCGCCATTCTCGCTCGCGAACACAGTGCTTACCTCCACCCCAGGTGGGAAAATGTGGCTTAGTAGTAGCGAAACTGCATTCCCGTAACACTAACAGCTATTTCGCACCAAATCACGCCCCCGCGCCACATGCTAGTCCCTCACCAGCACGCAACACAAGCAGTCTAGGGCGCGCTACGTGAAGACCTGAAGAGCGAGGTCAAAGGTTTCTCCTCGCCAGCGCGCCAAGCACCTCACTTGCTGCCCGTTGCATTTAGTGCGCATCTCGCTTCCCACACCTGCTTCGCGCAGCTAACACTGCGAGAGCGATGCCCGCCTTCTGCATTCCCTCTTTCCCGCCATACCCGTTGCAGCATACTATAATCGCCTCCCCTATCACCCGCATCCTGTCATACCAAAAATCCCGCCCTATCGCAGCGCCAATCCCTCCCTAACTCGTCATGTCACATCACCTAGTACCCCTCCCTTCCATGCGCTTGCCCTGTCCGCCTCTCTCCCATGCTCCCCTCTCCCGTGGTCCTCTCTCCCATGCTTCCCTCTCCCATGGTCCCCTCTCCCATGCTCCCGCTCCCCAACGCTCACCTTTCCCATTCTCCCCTCTCCCATGTTCCCCTCTCCCGTTCTCCCCTCTCCCATGTTCCCCTCTCCTGTTCTCCCCTCTCCCGTGCCCTCTCCCTGGTTAGGGAAGATCCACGCTCTCTTTGGGGCTGGCAAGAGGGCTATGGGAGGGGGGAAGCAGAGCAACGGAAGGGGGGGAAGCAGGGCAATGGAAGGGGGGGAATCTGGGCTATGGAATGGGGAGGACGGAGCGCAATGGAAGGGTGGGAAGCAGGGCAATGGAAGGGGGGGAGCAGGGCTATGGGAGAGGGGGAAGGAGGGGCATGGCAGCGGGGAGGGGGGCTTGGAAGGGGGGGAGAAGCAGGGGTCTGGATGGTAGGGAGGGGGATTTTCCCTCTCTCCCTCTTTCTCAAGCAGTCCGTGTATTTCTGGAACCTAGGTACAACTAGGCATCGGTTGGCAAGCAAGGCATCGGTCCCTCTTTCTCTCTCAAGCGGTCCGTTTATTGCTCGAACTCTGGGTACAAACTAGGCAAGCGGATGACAGCAAGACAAGGTATGTGCAAGTTGAGGGGCGCTGGCCTACTCGAGTTCCCCGAGGGGCTCTGCCATGGCAAAGCAGTCCCCCAGGGCCATGTCGGCGCCGGGGGTATCCACGGGGGTGTGGGGGGCAGGGGAGGCTTCGTTAACTTTGCCTAGGTAAGCCAAGGCCTGCGCCCATTGGAGCGTTACTGACCAACGCTGGCGGAACTGATGAAGTAGTTTCGCCGCTTGGTAGGAACTCGGGTCCGCGTTGAAAAGCCTCCTGGCCCCTGTGTCCGCAAGCAGTTTCAGGAAGGTAGGGACTTCGGCGCAGGGGCAGCCATAAGTCTCGACCGCCAGTGGGAAGAAACCAACGTAGGGGGCCCAATTGCGGTAGTGGCAGATTTTCTTGTCAGCTTGCTCACGGGCCATGTACCCCCACCCCTTCCGTGCATCCGGGTCCCGGCTGCTGATGGGGTCTGTGACGGTGACGTCGCAGATCCAGACGGCGCCGGAGCTGCGGTCGTGGATTGCGAGGTCGGCTTTGTGGCCGTCTACCGGGCTGTAGATGGTTGTCTCTTTGGTGACAATGAAGTCAGCATCCCGGGCCATCCGGATGCTTTCATCCCGCAGGGCATCGTGGGTGTCCGCCCGCCCGTGCCCGGTGCTGCACCGAAGGAGGTGATTGGGCAGCCGTGTGTCGAGGATTTCGAATTCCTCGGCACAGGTGCAGTTGTGGGGGGCTGGGAACGGCAGGCCAAGGCGGAAAGCCAGGGCGATGGCAAAATGTGGGGCTTCGAGACGGAGGGAAGGGAAGATGGGAATGGCATGAATCCAGTCCCCTGCCCCATATCTGGCCAGGGAGAAGAGGCGTTGTGTGTGGCCAGAGTACGGGTTTGGATCCATTGCCCATGAAGCTGTCACTTGGTCGGCGTATCGCACGGCCTGAACCTCGAGGGACATGCGGTGTTGGAGAGGGGAGCCCGAGGGTTCACCTCGCTTGGATTGGAGAAGCTCCAGGGCCCGCAGAGGCAGCGCGGATTCACACCTCGCCAGCCAGGTATGCATGTGGGTGGGGCTGGCAAAGGGTGGTGTGAGGTGGCGCACCGCGTCGGCCAGAGGTCCTCTGGTCGCTGCTGGGAGGGCAGCTAGGAGGCCCTGAGCTTGGGTGACACTGGTGAGAAAAGTCGGATGCCCTTCAATCGCTGGATCGGTGAGGCCCAGCCCCCCGAGAGAGGGAGGGAGGGATGCTTGAGCCCAGGTACGCGCCCGCTCTGACTTGCCCCGTGGTGGCTGGAGGTTGCAGGGACGTAGTAGGGTGTGAAATAGCTCCCTTCCCCACTCGGACCAAGCCTCCAGTGGCAGGAAATCCAGGGGGGTGGTGCGGGTCAGGTATGAGACGCGCCTGGATACGCAGCGTGTGAGGAGGAGGGAGGAGGACTGTGGGTCCATCGTGGCCAGTGTGGCGAGGGGTTCAGCGAGCGCGGCCAGCTGGGTGCAGAGAAAGCCTGCTGTGCCTTCAGGTGTGCCTAAAAAACTTCCCAGCACGCGCACCCCTTCGCTGCTGAAGGGTATGTCTGGCGGGAGGCAGCCAGGCGCGGGGCGTTCGGTGGACCAGATGCCTTCCATGGCGGCGGTGAAGTTCAGGAACGCCGCGGTGCAGGCACCTGGGTCGCCCACGAAGGTCACGTCGTCCGCGTAGGCGAGACAGAGGACCTCGGGGTGGTTCGCCGCGGTGGCCTGTAGCTCAGGGTGGATGGCTGCTGCGAAGAGCAGGGGGCCCATAGGGTCTCCTTGGCGCACTCCCCGCGCGCTCAGTAGGGGTGGGCTACCGAATTCCGCGTCGAGGTAAAGCAGGGACGGTGCCCCATACGAGAGCTGGATAAACGGTAGGAGGTGGCGTAGGGGCGAGTGATAGATGGTGTAGATTATAGCCCCGCGGTCAACATTATTAAACGCGTTTGTGAGACCGACCTGCAGAATCAGCGATCCCGGGCGCGCGGAGGTGAAGCCCCTGGTGGCGTGGATGATTATCTCCCCTCCGCTCCGGATTGCCACCCCGAATTGGTGAGGGAGAAAATGGTCTTGTGCTGGTTGAGTTGAGGAGACGATTTTTAGAGATAGGCTGCAATTCGGGAGACGTTTGTTAGAGATAGGCTGCAATTTGGTTGGCACAATTTTGTGTGTTGGCACTTTGTTGGTTTTAGGGATACACATATTTGTTAGGTTGGGTGTAGCTATGTTTTCATCCCCAACCTATCCCAACCCAATCCATCCCAAATCCCCACGACCTGGGAGGATTCCCTTGGGATTCCCTCAGATTCTCCCTTATCCCTTCCCATCCTCTCCGATGCTCGGTACTTAAGGATGTATGCTCTTGCTCAGTTTAATCAATCAAGTTCTCAGTTTCTAGTAAACATTATTGAACGCGCTTGTGAGATCGACCTGCAGAATCAGCGATCCCGGGCGCGCGGAGGTGAAGCCCCTGGTGGCGTGGATGATTATCTCCCCTCCGCTCCGGATTGCCACCCCGAATTGGTGAGGGAGAAAACGGTCTTGTGCTGGCTGAGTTGAGGAGACGAGTGCGGATTTAGCCGCCGGTCGATGCAGGCACTCGCCAATGGCGATGGGGCAAGTACCTCCATCTGGTTTGGTAAGTGCCAGGAGGCGTGAGGAGGTCAGAAGCTGGCTGACCTCGTGCGACAGGTTACCAGCGAGAAGGCGCTGAACGAGCTCGTGGAGGTGCTTGGCGACGGAGGGGTTGGAAAGCGAGGCATCGCGGAGATGCTCGAAAGTCATTCCCGATGGCCCCGCCCCAACCCCTTTTTTGCAGCGTGAGAGGAGTTTCGCGAAGACATCGAAATCGATAGTGGGAGGCGTGTAGTCCTCGCCTAGCTGCGGCCAGTTAAGGTCTTCGGCTAGCGGGGTGGGGGTGTTTTGACTTCGGCGCCTCCAGAATAGCAGGGGTGGACTCGCTGACTGGGGTTGAAGTCAACGCAAGCAGAGCTCGTCGCAAGCTGCCACGTCGCACCAACCCCTCAGCTCGGGATATCTTCCCGAGGGTGTCAAGTATGTGGCGGGGTGGGGGTGGCAGGGTGACAGCAGATGCGACTGCATGGTACAGAGCGTCCCATTGGCCCGCGAGGAATTGTCGGAGGCGTTTTTCTTCTGCGGGCCAATCGGGACGTCTTGGCGAAGGTAGGCGAAGGGTGAGACGCGGGAGGAAAAGTAACAAGATCCAACCCTCGGCGGAGGTTGGATTTCTGGCGAGGAAAAGGAGGGGTGTCAGCAAGGCTAGCGCGAAAAGTTGACGAATTTGGGGAGGTAACCGGCGGGAGAGGGGGGGTTGGCGGTTGTCGCATAATATCGCCATGTTCCAGCTGGCGATCCCGGCGAATCGGGAGGCGTCGCTCGCCAGCTCTTCTGGGGACAGCTGTGGGATTGACTGGGGATGGGTGTCCAGCGGTACCCGAGCATTACGCATGCTGCTGGACCTTTGTCCCCCAGATCTGGGAGTTGGGCCCGCGGTTCCATGTCTGGAGCGCCTGGGAGTCTCCTCATCTCGCTCCTCACTAGACGCGTCTGTTGTAGACTCCCTCTCCCTCCCAGGTACATAAGTTCCGTCAGCCCGTTCCTCCTCACCAGTAGTTCCCTGCAATCCTAAGCCCTTTAAAGCCCTGTTTGCTGCGAGCTGGAAACCGTTCAGCGGACCCCCGTCAGAGGACAGGTCGCCCCGCCTGGCAGGCCCGCGTCCGCGACCCCGTGCTGCTCGCCCAGAGTTTCTCCTACGTCCTCCTCCCTGATCTCCTCCCGGGGCTGTCCTGTCTGTCGTCCATCGTACTTGTCGGGTCGTGGGAGGGGCCGAGCGCAGCGCGTCTCTTCCCGATGGACCAGCCGCTGGGGCTCGAGCTGGGCCGGCCCCCGCGTGAGCGCTCTGCCAACTTGGAGAGCACTGGGGAGAGTGTGCCCCCCCAAGGTCGGGCGAATCCCCCAGCCCAGTCGAACCGCGATTGGGAGCGCGGGCTCTCCATTCCCTCGCCGGCCCCCAGCAGACCCCCGAGCAGATGCGCAGGCAGTTGGGGAGTCGGCCGTCCACCCCGCAGCGGTGCGAGGAGAAGACTCCTGAGCGCGCCCTGGACCCTGACCGTGGACCAGTGGTGCACGGCGCCCAGAGCGCGGCACGTCAGCAACCTCAGCCGCAGCATCCTCCCCGTCGTGGAGCGCCTCAGCACCGCCAGCAGGTGCAACCGCACCGGACTCTGCAGGCACAGTGCGGACGTTCCGGCCAGCACACTGGCTGGCGGGCCGGCGGGGGGAGTAACCGCGGATCGGCTGCAGAGCGGCGTCTGGGGCGGGCTGCCGCGACGCTCGAGGGCCTGCTCCGCTCTGTCGCTCAACCGCAGCAGCCAGCGCCGTGTCCCCCCCATCATTCGGCGTCGCAGCAGTATCACCAGGCGCATCAGCAGCTGGCGCATTTCCCGCCGCAGCTGGTGTCGGCTCTGGTGGTCCCGCCGCGCAGTGCGGCGCTTCCGCTACTCCCCCCCTATCAACAGCCTCCACCGCCTCCTCCGTCCACCTTTCCTCCGCCGAGCTTCCCCCCTGCCGCCCCTTTCGTTCCGCACCAGCCACGTGCGGTGCCGCACCCGTTGGACGTGCAGCCCTCAGACATTCTGCCACGCTGGCAGCTACCGCCCCTGGAGACATTGGTGGTGGGTTGGTCTGGCCGTCAGCCGCCTCCGGTGGTGCCAGTGTCCTTCGGCGATATGGCGACAGCGCCGTTTGTCCCCCCCCGTCGCGCGCTGGAGTCGCCGACTAGAGTTGAGGGGGGGGCACAAGCAGCGGAGATGGGGGGGGCTGAGTCCACAGGTGAGGACTCGGCCCCTGGGGACCAGGGGCGGCGTCGTTTGGCTGGGCTGCGGATGCCGCAGAGAGCACAGCTGGGGCGCCTGCGTGGGAGGGAGCGACTGGCGGGGACTGCAATCCCAGTCGCCACGCTTCGTCGGCTCTGGCACGCGCAGCGGGCGATGGGGTATGCTGTGGAGATGCTGACAGACTCGCACTCCGTTCTACGGAGCTCAGCGAGCCCATGCAAGATGCCTCACGATCCTCTCTCTCTCTCTCTCTCTCTCTCTCTCTCTCTCTCTCTCTCTCTCTCTCTCTCTCTCTCTCTCTCTCTCTCTCTCTCTCTTTCTCTCTCTCTCTCTCTCTCTCTCTCTCTCTCTCTCTCTCTCTCTCTCTTTCTCTCTCTCTCTCTCTCTCTCTCTCTCTCTCTCTCTCTCTCTCTCTCTCTCTCTCTCTCTCTCTCTCTCTCTCTCTCTCAAGCGGTCCGTTTATTGCTCGGAATCCTGGGTACAGGCTAGGCAGGCAGGAGGCAACAAATCAGGGTACGTGCATGTTTAAAGGGCCCCGAGTCTACTCGAGCTCCCCTAGGGGCTCTGCTATGGCAAAACAGTCACCTGGTGCCATGTCGGCGTCAGGGGTGCCCACGGGGGTGTGGGGGGCAGGGGAGGCTTCATTAACCTTGCCCAGGTAAGCCAAGGCCTGCGCCCGCTGTAGCGTCTCTGACCAGCGTTGGCGAAACTGGTGGAGCAGTTTTGCTGCTTGGTAGGAACTTGGGTCTGCATTGAAGAGCCTCCTGGCCCCTGTATCTGCCAGCAGCTTCAAGAAGGTAGGGACTTCGGCGCAAGGGCAGCTGTATATCTCGACCGCCAGTGGGAAGAAACCAACGTAGGGAGCCCGATTTCGGTAATGGTATATCTTCTTGTCGGCTTGCTCCCAGGCCATGTATCCCCGTCCTTTCCGTGTGTCCGGGTCCCGGCTGCTGATGGGGTCTGTGACGGTGACGTCACAGATCCAGACAGCTCCGGAGCTGCGGTCGCGGAGTGCGAAGTCAGCCTTGTGGCCATCCACGGGGCTGTAGATGGTGGTCTCCTTGGTGACTATGAAGTCAGCGTCCCGGGCCATCCGGATGCTCTCATCCTGCAGGGCGTTATGGGTGTCTGTCCGTCCGTGCCCGGTGCCACACCGAAAAAGGTGGTTGGGCAGCCTTGTGTCGAGGATTTCGAATTCCTCGGTGCAGTTGCATGTGCGGGGGGCTGGGAACGGAAGGCCGAGGCGGAAAGCCAGGGCAATGGCGAAGTGTGGAGCTTCGAGACGGAGGGATGGGAAGATTGGGATGGCATGGAGCCAATCTCCTGCTCCATATCCAGCCAGGGAGAAGAGGCGCTGCGTATGACCGGAGTGGGGGTTTGGGTCCATTGTCCGCGAGGCCGTCACCTGGTCGGCATACCGCACGGCCTGGACCTCAAGGGATAGGCGGTGTTGTAGGGGGGGCCCCGAGGGCTCTCCCCGCTCGGATTGTAGAAGCTCCAGTGCCCGTGGGGGCATCGCCGTTTCACACTTCGCCAGCCAGGTATGCAGGTGGGTGGGGCTGGTGAAGGGTGGTGTGAGGTGGCGTACAGTGTCGGCTAGGGGCCCTCTGGACGCTGCTGGGAGGGCAGCTAGGAGGCCCTGGGCTTGGGTGACGCTGGTGAGGAAGGCTGGATGCCCTTCAATCGCTGGGTCGGTGAGCCCCAGCCCTCCGAGGGAGGGAGGGAGGGACGCTTGGGCCCAGGTACGCGCTTGCTCTGACTCGCCTCGTGGTGGTTGGAGGTTGCAGGCAGGTAGTAGGGTGAGGAAGAGCTTTCTGCCCCACTCGGACCAGACCTCCAGGGGCAGGAAATCCAGGGGGGTGGTGCGGGTTAAGTAAGAGACGCGCCTAGACACGCAGCGTGTGAGGAGGAAGGAGGAGGACTGTGGGTCCATCGTGGCCAGAGTGGCGAGGGGTTCGGCAAGCACGGCCAGCTGGGTGCAGAGGAAACCGGCTGTTCCTTCTGGCGTGCCTATAAAGCTGCCAAGCACGCGGACCCCGTCTGTGTTGAAGGGTATGCAGGGGGGCAGGGGGGAAGAATGGTAGGAGGGGGTGCAGGGGCGAGTTATTGATGGCGTGAATGATGGCCCCGCGGTCGACGCTGTTGAACGCGTTTGAAAGGTCAACTTGCAAAATCAGCGAGCCCGGGCGCGCGGAGGTAAAGCCCCTGGTGGCGTGGATGATGATTTCTCCTCCGCTCCTGATAGCTACCCCGAATTGGTGTGGTAGGAAATATTCTTGCGCCGGCTGCGTTGAGGAGATTAGCGCGGATTTTGCCGCTAGGCGGTGCAGACATTCGCCTATGGCGATGGGGCGGGTACCCCCATCTGGTTTGGTAAGTGCCAGGAGGCGTGAAGAAGTCACGAGCTGGCTGACTTCGTGCGGCAGGTTACCCGCGACTAGGCGCTGAACGAGCTCGTGAAGGTGTTTGGCGACTGAGGGGTTGGATAGCGAGGCATCGCGAAGGTGCTCGAAGGTCATTCCCGAGGGCCCCGCTCCAACCCCATTTTCGCAGCGAGAGAGGAGCTTTGCGAAATCAGCGAAGTCGATTGTTAGCGGTCTGCAGTTCTTGCCCAGTTGCGGCCAGCTGAGGTCTTCGACGAGCGGGGGGGGGGGTGTTTTGACTTCAGCGCATCCAGGACTGTGGGGGTGGACTCGCTGACTGGGGTCAAAGTCAACGCGAGCAGTGCCCGTCGCAAGCTGCCTCGTCGTACCAACCCCTCGGCTCGGGATATTTTCCCGAGGGTGTCAGGTACGTGGTGGGGTGGGGGTGGCAGGGTGACAGCGGAAGCGGCTGCTTGGTACAGTGTGTCCCATTGGCCCGCGAGAAATTGTCGAAGGCGTTTCTCCGCCGCGGGCCAATCAGGACGTCTCGGCGAAGGTAGGCGAAGGGTGAGGCGCAGGAGATAGAGTAACAGGATCCAACCCTCGATGGAGGTAACCGGGGGGAGAGTGGGGGTTGGCGACTGTCGCAGAGAACTGCGATGTCCCAATTGGCGATCTCGGCGAATCGGGAGGTGTCATTTGCCAGTTCTTCTGGGGACAGCTGCAGAGCCGCCTGGGGATAGGTGTCCAGCAGTGCCCGAGTATTACGCATGCGGCTGGACCCTTGTCCCCTAGATCTGGGAGTTGAGCGCGCCTGCTCGTCTCGACGCCTTCCTCCTCACTGGATGTCTCAGTTGTGGACTCCCCCTGCTCCCCGGGTATATAGGTTCCATCGGCCCGTTCCTCCTCACCAGTTGTTCCTTGCAGTTCTGAAGCTCTTAAAGCCCTGTTCGCAGCCTGCTGGAATCCGTTCAGCGGCCCTCCGTCGGAGGACAAATCGCCGCGCCTAGCCGTCCCGCGAACGCATCCTCTCACCGCCCGCGTGTCGTGTCTGCTGCGCCCTCCTCCTTGATTTCCTCTCGGGGCTGCCCCGGTCGCTGTCCGACGTTCGTGCCGAGTCGTGGGGGGAGCCGAGCGCGGCGCGCCGCTTTGGGATGGACCAGCTAACGGGGTTCGGGCTGGGCCGACCTGTTCGTGAGCGCTCTGCCGATTTGGAGAGCACCGGGGATAGTGTGTTCCCCCAAGGTCAGGCGAATCCTCCGGCCCAGTCAAACCGTGATTGGGAGCGCGGGCTCCTCGTCCCCTCGACGGCTCGCCAACAGACTCCCGAGCGGATGCGTGGGCGATCGCAGAGTAGACCATCCGCGCCGCAGAGGCACGAGGAGAAATCTCACGAGTGCGCCTTGGAGGCAGGTCGTGGACCTGTGATGCATGGCGAGGTGCATCAGCCGCCGCACCAGCAACATCCCTCTCGCCGTGGGACGCCCCAGCGCCGCCCACAGGCGGAGCCGGTGCAGCAACATCGGACTCCGCAGGCGCCGCGCGTGCGCTCGGGCCAGCGCATCGGCTGGAGGGCTGGCGCCTGGGAGTAATCGCGGGTCGGCAGCGGAGAGGCGCCTGGGGCGGGCTGCCGCGACTCTCAAGGGCTTGGTCCGCGCTGTCGCCCAGCCCCAGCAGGCTCTAGTGTATTTCCCGCAGCTACTGTCGTCCCAGCAGTACCAGCAGGCGCACCAGTAGCCGGCGCGTTTCCCGCCGCCACGGGTGCCGGCGCAGGTGTTTCCTCCACGTGCTGTGATGTCCCCCCTGCTCCTCGACAGCCAGCACCTCGTGCCGCCCCCTCTGTCTGCACCTCCACCGCCGATCCTCCCCCCTACCGGTCCCTTCGATCCGCGTCAGTTGAACGTGCGGTCCGCGGAGACCCTGCCGCCCTGGCAGCCGATGCCCCTGGATGCATCGGTGGTAGGATGGCCCCACGGCCAGCCGCCGTCGGTGGTTCCAGCGTCGTTTGGCGAACGGGCGACAGCGCCCTTTGTCCCCCCTCGTCACGCGCTGGCGTCGCCGACTGGAGTTGAGGGGGGGGCAGAAGCAGCGGAGATGGGGGGGGCTGAGTCCACCGGTGAGGACTCGCCTCCTGGGGACCAGGGGCGGCGTCGCTCGGTTGGGCTGCGGATGCCGCAGAGGGCGCAGCTGGAGCGCCTGCGTGGGAGGGAGCGCCTGGTGGAGACTGCGATCCCAGTCGCCACGCTTCGTCGGCTCTGGCACGCGCAGCGGGCGATGGGGTATGTTGTGGAGATGCTGACGGACTCGCACTCCGTTCTACGAAGCTCAGCGAGCCCGTGCAAGATGCCTCATGATCCACTCCACCGCTGCGCGATGGCTGCAGCTGATCTGGCTGTCATGTCAACGCGAGTGCAGCCTGCGCCCGCCCCGGGAACCGTGTTGGACCCATGCCTGCTCGCCGTGATGCGGGCAGTATCGGCGAGCGTAGACTCGGCTGCAGCTGTAGACATCGTTGGCGGCGCCGTGTCAGCGCTGATGCTCCTGGGGGACTACGTGAAGGCCCTGCTTGAGGAGGCTGGAGCGGACCAAATCGCATGACGGGCTCCCGGCGTGTATAGGTCCTTGTTGGTGAAGTGCGCGCCAGCGTGAGCGCTCTGGTGAGGCTCTCCATGCTGGTCTGCTGAGTGTAGCGTGGGCAGGATGTAGACGCCGTATTTGTGTCCTTGCCGTTGTCCTAGTTGATATTGTAACCGTGTGTACTTGCCGCCCCTCACGCGCGGCCGAAGGGTGGGAGGCCGCCGACGCGAGCCGCCACCAAGGGTGGGAGAAAATGAAGAACTGAAAACTAAAGAAGAAGAATGAGCTAGGGAGAGGGCTTAAATAGCTAGGGAGGGACTCATGCTCTCTCTCACTCTCGCTCTCTCTCTCTCCTCTCTCTAGCCGCCACCAAGGGTGGGAGAAAATGAAGAACTGAAAACTAAACAAGAAGAATGAGCTAGGGAGAGGGCTTAAATAGCTAGGGAGGGACTCATGCTCTCTCTCTCTCTCTCTCTCTCTCTCTCTCTCTCTCTCTCTCTCTCTCTCTCTCTCTCTCTCTCTCTCTCTCTCTCTCTCTCTCTCTCTCGCCCTATACCTCCGCCTCTCTCTCTCTGCCCCCCCCCCCTGCACTCTCCCCCCCCAACCCCCTGATTGTCGTACCCACTGCTTCAAAGTACAGTGCTGTGGGTGGGGTAGCATAGTGCTGTGAGGGGGGAAGCACAGTGCTGTGAGGGGGAAGGCACAGTGCTGTGAGGGGGGAAGCACAGTGCTGTGAGGGGGGAAGCACAGTGCTGTGAGGGGGAAGGCACAGTGCTGTGAGGGGGGAGGCACAGTGCTGTGAGGGGGGAAGCACAGTGCTGTGAGGGGGGAAGCACAGTGCTGTGAGGGGGGAGGCACAGTGCTGTGAGGGGGAAGCACAGTGCTGTGAGGGGAGAAGCACAGTGCTGTGAGGGGGGAAGCACAGTGCTGTGAGGGGAGAAGCACAGTGCTGTGAGGGGGAAGGCACAGTGCTGTGAGGGGGGAGGCACAGTGCTGTGAGGGGGAAGCACAGTGCTGTGAGGGGGGAAGCACAGTGCTGTGAGGGGGGAAACGCAGTGCCCTGAGGGGGGAAGCACAGCTCTGTGAGGGGGGAAGCACAGTGCCCTGAGGGGGGAAGCACAGTGCTGTGAGGGGGAAGCAAAGTGCTGTGAGGGGGGAGGCTAAGTGCTGTGAGGGGGGAAGCACAGTGCTGTGAGGGGGGAGGCACAGTGCTGTGAGGGAGGAAGCACAGTGCTGTGAGGGGGGAGGCATAGTGCTGTGAGGGGGGAGGCACAGTGCTGTGAGGGGGGAAGCACAGCTCTATGAGGGGGGAAGCACAGTGCCCTGAGGGGGGAAGCACAGTGCTGTGAGGGGGAAGCAAAGTGCTGTGAAGGGGGAAGCACATTGCTGTGAGGGGGGAAGCACAGTGCTGTGAGGGGGGAAGCACAGTGCTGTGAGGGGGGTAGCATAGTGCTGTGAGGGGGGAAGCACAGGGACATCCAGATTCTTCCGGACATCCAGGGGCTTCTAGCCGGTATGGTACCTGCTAGATCCTACGGACACCCGATTCTGCCGGACGAGCAACTGGTGGCCTTTGAGCGCCAAGTGCTTCGAGTGCGCCAAGCACTTGAAGGCAATGTATATGTACGGTACCTGCTAGATCCTGCATGGAGCCGGGTCGTCTCGCCGTCGCGAACACGCGGCAGCCCTTGGCAGCGAAGGCTTTGCTGAGCTCGGACCCGATTCCGCCGGACGAGCAGCCGGTGACGACCACCACTGGACCCATGAGCGGCTCACGGGACATTGACGACTACGATTGACGGATAGATGACCACCCATGACTTTGCTAGGATCGGCGGGCCGTTTGCCTGCAGTAGGTCGTGGTCAATTGCTAGTAACGAATCCGCCGAGCTGTGACAAAAAACCGGTGAATCCTCGGGAATAGAAGAAAAGAAACCAGGGTCTGTACGAATCGATGGTCTCTAACTACAACATGAGCATGGGGTGAGACAATCTCGGTTCGTCCAATGGGGTGACACGAACTCTCCGGTCCCGTCACGAGCAAGCTGGAAGCGACCTCAATTACTCAATGCTTTTCTTAATTACTGTCGGATTACGCGAGGAACATCAACGGTTGATCAGGAAAAGAAGAAACGCCAAAACTAAATGGCAAGAAATAAGTTCCTGATGGTAATTTGACCGAAATCAGCCTTACACGACCTGAGCTTACTCGGCAATCTCGAGGAGCCTCTGACAGCTGCTGCCTTGCTTGACTCAGCAGCAGGCCCTCAGATTGGTTTTAAGTCATCCTGATTGCAAAGGACTACCTGTGGTTTTTTCCCTGAATTTTCAGAGTTCCCCAATTTTTTTTGCTTAGGGGTCAGGATTGAGTGGGACAAAAATGCTGAATGGACAGAGATAGATGGTTTTTTTTCCCTGATTGACAAAATGAAGAGGAAATTGAGAAGCAAGGAACTTTACTCGAAATTATCAAGATCGTCCACATTGTCACTACTACCTACACCCCACTCTGCCTCTTCTGCTACTACCTTCCCCTTCTTCGAGCCGTCTTGCTTGGCCTGATGGGTGTTGTTGAAGGGCTTACGCTTCTTGTAAGCGCACCATATCTCCACCACAGCATCATAGTCCGGTCATAGTCTAACAGTGACATGCACATGAGGTCACTAAGCCTAGTATCTTTAAGGCTGCCACGCAGCCAGCTCTTAATCACATTCTGCCTAGAGAATCCGCGCTCGCACTCCACAGTGCTGAGAGGAAGCACTGCCACCGCCATCCACAGCTTCATCAGGTTCATCGGGTAAGAATCCTGCCAGACAGGTGTCTTCAGCATGGCCGTGAGCCCAGCGTGAAAGCTTCGGTCGGCCTGGGGAAGAGCAGCAATGACAGGGCAGAAATGAGGCAGCTCTCTCATGGCTGCACGCTTGTCAATGCCAGGAAGAATCTCCTCTGCCTCATTTGCACGATAAAGAGTAACAAGGGAGAAGAACCAGTCAAGGCACTGAGCCTTGCGTGCAGCTCTTTCCCAGTTAGGGGGCCAGAGGTTGACAGAGAAGAGGCGGCAGCCAGAGAGCTTCCCCAGATCACCCAGCCGCTCCTTCAAGCTCGACACCATGCCTGTCGCCATGGCCACACAGAGCCTCTAGCACGCGTCGTGATCGCCCTCCCCCGGATAACCTGGCAAGCGATCTTCATGCAGCACGAAGGTAAAGGAAGCCGGACGACCGTCAGAGTCAACCCCCTCAGCTGTGACCTCGCGAGAACCGCCCGGGCCATGACGGGTGAGGAAGATGGTGAGACGGTCCTTCAGTCCCCCGCCGAAGTCTTCGGCGTCCCCGTAGCGGCTCTGCAGCAGGGTTGTTGTGCGGATGATCTGCGCGTGGACGGCCGAGTACTCCAGCTGAGGTTGGGGCGGGGAAGAGAGGGAGGGGAGGAAGGGAGGGGAACGTGTATGTATACAGAACCAGGGTGGTTTAATAACGACTCATTGTCACAGTAAAGAAAAACTCACCTGACGCTCCTGGAAGGACTTGTTGAGGATGTTCAGCTGCTCCAGTACGTCAGCAAGGAACATGACAAGGAACCAGAAGCGGTAGCTTGTCACTATCCTGGAGAGCCGAGTATCATTCCACTCCGAGAGCATGACGACGATGGCGGGTAGAACCTTGACTAACCTAATGACAGCCTCGCCGCGGGAGAGCCATCGGATGTTATGAATGCCCTGAAGTTCGAGGTTCGTCGAGGTGAAGATTTCCTGCAGGTCCAAGAAGCGCTGGTGCCATGGGCCGGATCGTCCGAAGTACTCAGTGAGCTCCTTGATGACATCGTCAATCATCTTGAACGCTGGCAAGGATTCCGCCGCTGCTTTAGCTACCAGTGCCTCTCTGGAGGGTGGGACAAAACGAGAAAAAAATTGTACATGTTGGGCCTTGGGAGTGGGGTAATACACATTGCACATGCGGAAACCACCAGTGCACTTAACCGAGGTACAGTAGCGGTAAACAACAACGCTCACCTATGTGCAATACAGTGACACGACACCAAGTGCGGAATCTGCATCCGCAGCCGCGTCACAAGCCCAGCCTTCGACCCCGTCATAACAGCAGCGCCATCGGTGCTTATGCCCACGACCCGCCGGAGGTCGACACCGATGGCGTTGATGTGAGACAGGAGTAGAGCGAGCAGAGAGGCAGCGTCAGCCTTGTCGACGCTCAGCAAGGCCAGGTATTCGCAGACGACTTGGTTCTCACGGATGAAGTGCGCAAACACGATGAGGTGCTTGCCGCGGCAGCGGTCTGTGCTCTCATCGATGCTCAAACCGATGAACGGGCTCCTCAGAAGGTGGTCCAACTGTGTTGTCTGCAGCCAGGTTGCCATGGACTGTGTGAACTCCCCGTACCCATAACTGCAGTAGCCAAGGGCGTATAGATAATTAGTATGCTGAAATATGAACATTCGTCATGCATGATAGATGAATGCAAACAAAATCAAACAGCACACAAGAATACCTGTTGTAGTACGTGCCATAGGCCTGCTCGGGGAAGTGCTCGTGCCGACGTTGGCTGAGGTAGCGCACGAGCCTGATCCAGTTTTCCATCGGCTCGTTGCCTTTGCAACAGAAGTAGAGCGCGTCAAGCAGCGCAGTCACACGTTCCTTCTCCAGGTCTGCGGCTTGAGGAAGCTGGTCGATCCGCATCTGGTTGGTTGCGTCCTGCAGCAGCGCCTGCTGCTTTGTCACGGCTAGGCGATGCTTGGCCGACCCGGCGTGCCTGTTGAATGCCTGCGACTGCACGTCCGTCAGCCCTGCGCCGCGTTTGCCGGCTTTCCCTCTGAGTCCTGCATGCTCAAGGCACAGACTGCATTTAAACGCAGGGAATCCAGCGTCAGTCTTAACGATCATAAGCCAGGGAAACCGCTCAGACCACCGCGTATTAAACCTGCTGAGGGCTTCGCCGTAGACATCCTCAGGCGATCGAAACTTGTCGGGTGCAGCGGTAGTGTCGTCGCTATCGCTGTCGTCATCTTCGCACATGGCTGAGGGGCGGGGCGTCGTCGCTTGACCGCGTGGGAAATTCCACAGGGTGGATTGCCAGTATCGACCGCCAGGTTTCACGGGGGTGGCGGAACCTGGACTACAGGTAAAAGCATTAGCAAGGGATGGGCCTAGAATAGGCACGGAATTCGGCTCGACAACACCTTGAGAAGTTGAGGCGACCGACTGCGAGGCACATAGGGGGTTTTGTTCCGTCCGAGGGTTACGAGGAGTCTTCGGAAAACTACCTAGCGTCCAAAGGAGCATGTCAAGCCCAGTGGGGGCTTCGTCACGGTGACTGCCGCTGTCGTCGCCATCGTCATCCAATTCCACGTCGCCTGACTCAGGCATGTGGACGGGGCTCACTAGGGTGGTCGACGAGCAGAGACACACGACGGAGTGGTTGTAAAACAACGACACTGTGGGGGGAAGGTCACGCTGGGAGTGGCTAACGCACTGGCTGTTTCTACCGTGGGAAGAAACAGATGAAGAAGACGCAGGGGGGAAAGGGAGCGATGGCGAGGCGCGAACACTTTGCCAGCCACGCACAGTTGGCTTCCTGTATTCCTGAATCTGGACCGAAACTAGCGCGGCGCATGCGCGTCGGCGTCGAACCGGAGTGTGGTGTTGAAGCTGGGTCATCATCGCTGGCGTACACGTGATTGGCTATTCAGGCAGCATTTACAAAGGCAACCAATCCACGCATGCAGGCAAACTGTTTGCTGGCCGACACTTTGAGAAGGACCAATGCCGTGAGGCAGCGCGGCAACATGTGACTCAGCAAACGATGCCTGCAGGCGGGAACCTGGCAGTCAGGCCAGTTTTGTGGGGGAATATGCGCATATCGCTGTAATTCTGGGGGGGACCCGCAAATCACTCCCTTGACAAAATCAGAACCCATGCTGGATACAAGTCTGAAATTTCAGGATCCATTACAAAAAAAAACTGACCTGACAGAAATCCCTTACAAAAAAACCCTGAAATTTCAGGATATGCCAAAAACAAAACCCTAGCAAATCAGATCTGGTACCCCTCAACACCCTGTTTTTTTTCCTGAATCAAGGGAATTTTCCTGACTTCTGGGGGCCTGCTCAGCAGATAACAGAATGGTTTTCGAAGCTTTTGTACGCTGCAGAGCAGTGAAACCTGTTGATCTGCGGTTCCCATTGAATCTTGGTTGGCTGGAAACCCTTCCAGACCTGATCCGTTGCGCCCTCATTGTGTCAGAGAGGTTCGGAGTCTCAGGTGTCCAATACACCGCTATTGTTTTAGTGGTTCCACAATTACAAAGAAGACGCATGTTTCTTTACAATTCAAACAATTCTATTCATAAATCGCGCTTTGTGTTACAACACACTGCTCTTCTAACACGTTCTGCGCTTCACAATATGCAGCATATGCCCGAAGCAAATTCTTCAGCCGTTGCAACTGCTGCAACGTCACCCTACCTGTACTCGAAACCTCACCCATCACCTCGTCAAGATGGTGCCGGCGTCCCAAGAAGTTATCCAGGTGACGCTTTGCCTGAGACTCAAGCTCCCTCGTTCCCCCCCCAGGAAAGTCCACGGTTCCCTTTTTCTCTACGAAGTCCTTATATTTCTCTTCCCTCTCTTCCCGGATTTCTTTCTCTTCCTTATCTTCTCCCGCTATTCCCGCCTGCTCTCCCTCACCTCGCAACCCTCCTTGGGCGTGTCGGGCTTCCCCCTCCACCTCACGTCCATTCATGCCTTCCTCTCCTCTCTCCTCCCTCTCATCTCCCCTTTCCGGACTCTGCCCTGCCAACGCCTGCAGCAAGCTCTCATTGTACATACCACAGGTCTGGATCCCCTTTCGGCTCTGCCCCTCCTCCAAGTGCTGCTGCTGCAGGTGGTGGTGCTCCTGTTGCCGCTGCTCCTGCTGTTGCTGTTGATGTTTCTGCTGTTGCTGCAGTAGTTGTTGCTGCTGGTGCTGCCATTGCTGTTGCTGCTGCTGCTGCTGCAGCAGTTGTCGCTGCTGCTGTAATTGGTGGTGATATTGCTGCTGGTGCTGGTGCTGGTGCTCCTTTTTTCCTCCTCTTCCCACCCCTCCTCCACCTTTCTCTGAAGCCCCTCTTCCCCTCTCTCTCCTTTTATGTGCCTGCCAGAGCGGACTGCCACCGATAGCCTTCACCAGGTCCAGCTTCTTCGCCTTGGCAGTCACGGCGCACCCCAGCAGCAGCGCCACCACCCTCAACACGTCCCGCTTCTCAAACTGCAGATCCTCCTCCGCTGCACACTGTGCAAAGAACAGCGTCTGGTAGACCTGCTTATAACGGGGACAGAAAGGGGGAGCGAGCAGGATTGGGGGGGGGAGGGGGAGGGGGAAGGCCGAGAGGCTTTGAGAAATCAACCTGCCAGAGCAGATTGCCACTGATGGACTTGACCTGGTCCAGCTTCTTCGCCTTGGCAGTCACGGTGCAACCCAGCATCAGCGCCACCACCCTCAGCACGTCCCGCTTCTCAAACTGCAGATTCTCCTCCGCTGCGCAGTGCAGGACGAAGGATAGTAGTACCAGCACCTAGGATAGTAGTACCTGAACCAAGGATAGCGGTACCAGAACAAAGGATAGTAGAACCAGAACCAAGGATATTAGTACCAGAACAAAGGATAGTAGTACCAGCACCAAGGATAGCGGTACCAGCACCAAGGATAGTGGTACCAGCACCGAGGATAGTGGTACCAGCACCAAGGATAGTGGTACCAGAACCAAGGATAGTAGTACCAGCACCAAGGATAGTAGTACCAGCACCAAGGATAGTGGTACCAGCACCGAGGATAGCGGTACCAGCACCAGCTTAGCAGCCTCTCCTCCCTCCGTGTGCTCCCACTGCATCCTCCACTCAAGGACCTCCCACGAGTGCCATACCTTGTGCGCCCCGGGGTTTATCCTACAAAGGCCGTACCTTGAGCGCATCGGGATTCGTCCGGATGAGCGATCAAACGTACGCCTCCAGCTTGGCAGCCAGCAGCTCCCTCTCTCCCACGCATGCCTCCAGATTAAGAGTGTGAACCGCGCTAGCTGTGCCTCACCTTGAGCGCCCCTGGGTTCGTCCTGATGAGCGATCGTACGTATGCCTCCAGCTTGGCAGCCAGCAGCTCCCGCTCCTCCGTGTACTCCCATTGCATCCTCCTTTCAAGGAAATCCGTTAGAAGCACATCTGCAGGCCGGTTTAACCTTGCAATCCGCTCATCCCCAATACCTGACAGCCCAATTTCCTGAGGTAAAAGGAGTCCTGGCAACTGCGAGGGAGGTTGCGGGGATACTGTGCGGTTCTGTGCAGTTGGGAGGGATGCTGGGGACGGTTCTGCAGGTAGAGCTGCTGCTGAAGGTGCTGTGGGTAGGGGCACAGCTGGTCCTGCTGTTTCTGTGCATGCTGCTGCTACTGCTGAGTTAGTGGCTGCTGCTGCTGTTGAAGCTACTGCTGAGTTAGCGGCTACTATTGGTTGTGGCAATGGTGGTGGTGGTAATTCTCCTGCTACTGCTATGGCTGCAGCTGCTGCTGCTGCTGCTGCTGCTGCTGCGGTTGTGGCTGCTTCACCCACGGATGATCCTGTTGCTGCCATTGCAGTAGCCCCTCTTTCTCCTCCTCTCTCGCTTCCCATCTCCACACCAGCTACTGCTCTAGTCTCTTTCTCCCCACCTCTATCCCCGCCTCTCTCCCCCCCTTTCTCCCCCCCTCTCTCCCCCCCCCTCTCAACCCCTCTTTTCCCTCCTGTCGTCCCCCTACCTTCCCCCCTCACTCTCTCCCATGCATCCGCCCTTATAATCACTTCTGCCAACTCATCCTTTCGTAACGATGTTACCTCCGGTGCTCCCAGCAGCAACGCGAACAGCTGAAGAGCCCCCTTCTTCTCCCCTTTCAGGTCCTCTAGAGTTATCTCATGTGCCAGCAATAGGTCTTGAAACGGCTGGGTAAGGGGAAGGGAGGGAAGGGAGTGTAGGGTGGGTGGGGAGACAGAGAGGGTCACCTCTGGTGCTCCCAGCAACAGCGTGAACAGCTGCAAAGCCCCTTACTTCTCCTCTTTCAGATCTCCAAGGGTGATTTCGTGTGCCAGTAGCACGACTTGAAACGGCTGGTAACAGGACGGGGGGGAGGGGTAAAGATGGGAGAGAAAGAGCGCACTCCAGTGCTCCCGGCAGCAAGGCGAACAGTTGAAGAAGCCCCTTCTTCTCCCCTTTCAGGTCTTCTAGCGTGATTTCAAGCGCCAGTAGCAGGTCTTGAAATGGCTGGTAACGGAAGTGGGGGAGGGGTAAAGGCAGGGAGGGGGAAGAAAGAGGGACGTGATGCCACCTTCCAGCAGCAGTGCTCCCACCTTGGGTGCTCCCAGCAGCAGTGCGAACAGCTGAAGCGCCCCTTTCCTCTCGCCCTTCATGTTGTCTAGCGTGATTTCAAGCGCCAGTAGCAGGGCTTGAAACGGCTGGTAAGGGAGGAAGGGGGGGGGGCAAGGCGGGAGGGAGGGGGAAGAAAGAGGGCACGGATTTTCACCTCCAGTGCTCCGAGTAGCAGTGCGAACAGTCAGAGAGCCCCTTTCCTCTCCCCCTTCGGAACTTCCAGGGTGATGTCATGCGCCAATAGCAGGTCTTGTAACGGCTGAGTCAGAGGGAAAGGATGCTCACGTGGGTGAGTGTAGGGAGGGACTTTTGAGGCGCCTCAAAAGCTGAGTAAGAGGCGTGGGTGAGTGTAGGGAGGGGTGGGAAGCCAGAGGGAAAGGAGGTCACCAATAATTCTCCATCTAGTTTCTCATTTTACCCGCACCAATCCCGTTACCTGCACTGCCTGTCTTCCCAGCTCTCCATAGGTGCTTCCCGTGCGCCTTTAGAGACGCCAGCAACGGGCTTCTGTCTTCCAGCAGCTGCTACAGCCGCCTCTCGCATCCCACACTCCCCCTCGACCTCCCTCTGACCTGTGCTCATATTCACCTCAAACCGCGCCTCTCACCTGCACTGCCTCTATCCCTGCTTTCCACAGCAGCTTCACGTGCGCCTTTAGAGACGCCAGCAACGGGCTTCTGTCTTCCAGCAGCTGCCACAGCCGCCTCTCCCCCACACACTCCCTCAATCTCCCCTCCACCGCTTCCCTACTCTCCCTGCCTTTTCTCTTCTTAGGTGCCTCATAACCATCCCCCCTGTCCTCTTCACGCTTTCGCTTTTGAGTTTCCATTTGAGTCGACTCATAACCATCCCCCCTGTCCTCCTCGCCTTTCCTCTTTTGAGCTGTGTCAACAGCTTCTTTTCTGCCCACAGCTTCTTTTCTGTCCTCTATCCCTCCTCTCTTTGTTCCTCTCCCTCTCACTCCCTCCCTGTCCACCGCTCCTCCTCCCCCTCTGCCCGTTGCTGCTGCCACTCGCACTGCTGATGGTACTAGTGACGGTACTGCCGCTGGGACTGGTGACGGTACTACTCCTGCTAACTGCGCAGCTGTTGCTGGTGATGATGCCACTGCTACTGCTGGTGATGATGCGGCCCCTGCTCGTGGTGGTGGTATTGCTGCTGCTGGCACTGCTGCTACTGGTGATGATGCTGCTGTTTCTGCTGTTGGTGTGTGTGGTGCTAATGGCAATACTGCTGCTGGCGCTGGCGGTGGTGGCACAGCTGCTGCTGCTGGTGATGCTGATGCCGCCGCTGCTGCCACTGCTGCTGCTGGTGATGCTAACGGTATTGCTGCATGTGATCGCGGTGTTGCTGCTGGTGATGCTGCTACTTCTGCTGTTGTCGTTTGCAGTGCTATTGATAATACTGCTGCTGGCGTTGGGGCTGCATCTGGTGCTGGTGCTGGTGCTTGTGGTGCTGGTTGTGGTGCTGGTGCTTGTGGTGCTGGTGCTTGTGGTGCTGGTGCTTGTGGTGCTTGTGCGTGTGGTGCTTGAGCTTGTGGTGCTTGTGCTTGTGGTGCTGGCGCCGTTGCTGCTGGTGCTGCTGTGTCTGGTGCTGGTGCCGTTGCTGCTGGTGCTGCTACTGTGCCTGGTGCTGGGGCGTGTGGCGTTAAAGCGGTTCGTACCGCTGGTGCAGGTACTGCTTCTGCTGCTGCTCCTGATGCTGCTGCTTTTGCTGCTGCTGCTGATAGTGGTGGTGCTGGCACTGCTGATGCTAATATGGCTGCTGCTGGCACAGCCATTGATGGCAGTAAGTCCTGATTCTCTGGTGCTGCTGCTACTGCTAGTGCCACTGCTATTGTTGGATGTTGCACGGAAGCAGGAGCAGGAGCAGGAGCAGGAGCAGGAGCAGGAGCAGGAGCAGCAGCAGGAGGAGCAAACGAATCGGATGCAGTAGCAGCGACATTCAGAAGAAGGGGAGAGGCATCAAAGGCATTAGCAGCCGAGGCACCACCAGCTGTAGCAGCAGGAGCAGACGCACCATCAACAGTAGCAGCCGTGGCAAAGGCACCACCAGCTGTAGCAGAAGGACTAGGGGCCGCTACTGCAGCATTGGTGCATAGAGGGGCAGTGACCGGGGCTGCTGCAGCATCTGTAGCAGCCGTGGCGTCACCGTCAGTAGCGGCATTTGTAGCAGCACTGCTTGCAGCATCTGTAGCAACACCTGTAGCGGCATCTGTAGCAGCTTCTGCAGTCTGTGTGGAAGCAGCAGGAGGGAGATGAGGGGGAGGAGGAGGAGAGTTGATGGATAAAACAGGAGTAGTAAGGGAAGGGTAAGAGGCAGAAGACACAAGACAAGCCTTCGTCTCTTCCTGCTGCTGCTGCTGCTGCTCTTCATTCTGCTCACCCTGCTGCCCCTCCTCCACATTTTGCGGTCGCTGATTCGCCTCCTGCTCGTTCTGCTGCGCTTGCATTCTGCTCATTTCCCCTTCCCCCAAGTCCCCTTCCCCCAAGTCCCCTTCCCCCAAGCCCCCTTCCCCCAAGTCCCCTTCCCCCAAGTCCCCTTCCCCCAAGTCCCCTTCTCCCAGAACCCCTTCCCCCATGTCCCCCCCTTCCCCCATACCCCCTTCCCCCATGTCCCCCCCTTCCCCCATGTCCCCCCCTTCCCCCATGCCCCGCATTTCCCCTTCCCCTATGCGTGCTCCTCCCATTCCCCCTCCCACATAAACCGGAAACCCTGGCGGGGGCCACCCATACCATGCGCCCCATCCCCCGCCAACCCACTGCTCCCCCCTTCCCCGTAAGTCTTCCCCCGCTCCCCTGGAACTTCCGCCCATCCCCCTTCCTCCCCCGACGCTTCTCTCCCCTCCGCTCCCCCCTTGTGGGGGGAGCCCACCGTACGGGTTGGGGGGAAATCGAGCATGCGGGGGGTTTGGCGCAAGCGGAGGGTTTGACGCATGCGGAAATATTCCCCCGTGCGCGTACGAGGGGGATTTCCCATGCGCGTTCGGGGGGTTTGGCGCGTGCGGGAAAGCCAACGGCGGATATCGCCTGTAGTCATACCACCCAGGAGGGGGATAGTGAGCCGCCGGATAGTGATAATACGAAGAGGGCGCTATATAGGGGTAAGGGGGCGGCGGACCCGGCGGAAGGGGGGGGAATGGATGCGCGGAGCGGAAGGGTTCCGACGCTGGCGCAGATTGGGGTGGCGAGGTGTGCGCTACTTGCTGTGGGGGGACTTGCGCAGGAGAGGCGGGGGGGGAGGAGGCGGAGGGATCGAGCGGGTGGTGTGCGGAATCCATAACCGTAAGCTGCTTGCAATCTGCATGAAACTCTGCAGAACTTTAGGCGAGCGGGATGAATTGGCGTTTCGAACCCAGCTGAGCCATGCCCGAAAGACTGAAACGGGACTCTTCTTACGCACCCTGAGAACACGGAATCCAGTAAGCGTTTGAGTTGACTCGACTAAAATGAACACGGAAGCCTCTCAGTCACTCGAGCATGGAACTGACTTAAGCACGGGGAAGCACGAATCGCTGTTGCAAAACCCCAATCTCGTTTCGTTAACGACCCAAACTGTGTACATGGACCTGATATAAGTAGGCAGTGCTTTGGCTGCTGCAACTAAATAAGGGTAAACCTATAATGGCCAAAGCGCCCATCCAAGCGCTTCTCCAATCAGCTGGCACACATTGAGTAGCATGCATTGCATTTATCCACAGCAATAACATTGCATTCCTTCCATGACATGCCTCAACTGTCAACATATAATTTGTATATATTAAAGGCTAGCTAGGTGCATGCTCATATAGAGTACAACCCCTTAGGCTATATACCCTTGTACCACCTCATCCTAGTCAATCGTTTCTATGCTAAGATGGTATCACGCTAGGTTAGGATCCCGCCCACCCACGCTTCTGCCCTAGTCCTAGCCCTAGCCCTAGCCCTAACCGCTCGTCCCTAGCCCTAGCTGCTCGTCCCATAGCCGCCCGTCGCCTAGCGCCCGCTGGCCCCGTGAACGCCAGCCCCGCGCCTGCTGGCCCCGAGCTCGCCCGTCCCGCGCCCGCTGGTCCCGCATTCGCCAGCCCCGCGCCCGCCAGCCCAGCGCCTGTCGGCCCCGCAATAGCCAGCCCCGCGCCCACTGGCTCCGTGCCTGCTGGCCCCCCACCTGCTCACCTGCGCTCGCTGGCCCCGCTTTCGCCAGCCCTGCGCCCGCCAGTCCCGTGGCCGCCAGCCCTGAACTCGCAGGCCTCGCGCTCGCCAGCCCTGCGCCCGCTGGCTCCGTGCCTACTGGCCCCGCTTTCAACAGCCCCGCGCCCGCCAGCCCCATGCCCGCAAGCCCCGTCCCCGCCAGCCCCGCGCCCGCTGGCCCCATGCACGCCAGCCCCGCGTTCGCCAGCTCCGCATCCGCCAGCCCCGTGCCCGTCGGCCCCGCGCTCGCCAGCCCCGCGCTCGCTGGCCCCGCGCCTGCTGGCCCTGCACCTGCTAGCCCCGGGCCTGCTGGCCCGGCGTTTGCCAGCTGCCCGCTGCCAGCCCCTGTCCTCGGGCCCCTGCTCTCGCCAGCTCCGCACCCGCTGGCCCCGCGCCCGCTGGCCCGTGCCGCTGTACCGCCGTGCCGCCGGGCCGCCGTCGTGCCGCGCCGCCGTGCCACCGTGCCGCCGTGTCGCCGTGCCGCCGTGGTGCCATGCTGCCGTGGAGCCATGCCGCCGTGGCGCCGTGCAGCCGTGGAGCCGTGCCGCCGTGACGCTGTGCCGCCGTGCTGCAGTGTCGCTGTGTCGCCGTGCGCCGTGCCGCCGTCTCATCGTGCCGCCGTCTCGTCGTGCTGCCGTCTTGTCGTGCCGCCGTGCAGCAAAGGTCGTGCGATAGCGGACGCTGTGCTCTGCCTGAACGCGGAGGAGTGGGCGATCAACTTCGATGCGTGGCTTGTCGACCTTCACCGTCACCTGACAGGTCAGCGCCAGGATGGTTACTCCCTGGCTGTTCATTTCGATGGCTTGCTTCCCCGCCCCCCCACGCCTGCTGCCCTCCCTAATGCCCCCACCACTACTAAGCGTGAGGCCTTTTCCGCTGCTGCGCTTGCTCGCACTGTCTAGGAGTCGCGCGACGCCGTAGTGCAGCTTGCCATTAGTTACGCCCTCCCCCTGTCCGAGCGTCCCCGCTTTACCACTGTAGCGAACGCCAAAGAATTCTTAGATGCCGTAGTTTCGCACTATTCTACGCCTGCTTCCGCCTCTACTGGCCGCGTGATCCTCCCCATACTGTTCCCTGATCTTGCGGCCTTCCCCACTGTCGCTGACCTAGCCATTCACCTCCGTGCACTTGAGGCTAGCTACCACGCCACTAGCACTGAGGCCCAGCTCACTGCCTTCCCGCCGCCTTCCCTCACGCACCTCCCAGACCACCTAGCCACTGCCCGCGACCACTTACTTAGTCAGCATCCAAATGACCTCACCCTTACTGCCTTTGTCACCGCCCTGTTCGAGATAGAGACCCGCCAGCGCACTATCGCTCAGTCTAGCGGTACTGATGCGGTCCCTATCTTTCAGGGCTGTGCTCCCTCCCTGTGCACTTACTCAGACGTTTCTGCCACTGTCGCTTAGATAGCCCCTGCTCCTGAAACCGCTGCTGCCGCCTCAACGCAGCTGTGTCAGGGTAGGGGTCGCCGCCCCTTGGAGAGGGTTCTTGCTCTGGGGGTGTTCATGTGGAGTGTCCTGGAGGTAGCCGTGGTGCATCTGGAGGTTTTGGTGTCGGTGACGAGCAGCAGCAGCAGCAGCAGCAGTCGCCGCCGGTGTCTGCCCTTCTCCTTCTCGGTCTTTCCTCCCCTAACCACCCGTTTGCACCTCCCCCGCCGCCGCCTCCCCTGTCTGTCTACGGCCCTGTCTTTCCGGACTCGTCTCCGGCTCATATCCCCCCTCGTTCTCCTCCTGTGTCTCCCCCTGTGTCTCCTGACCCTTCGCCTCTGTCCCACTTCTGGTCTCGTCGTCCCCTCGTGCTCGTCCTGTCTCCCCTGTGCCACGCTCTCACCCTATGTTGCTTCGTTCCCACGCATCTCGTCCTCCTCTCCTCCTGACGCCTCCTCTGTTTGACTACCTTGGTGCCGCTAGTCCGCTTGTTCCTCGGGTCCTTGCCTCCCTCGTTATCGACCCGTCTGTTTATGTTTCGAGTCTTGACGCGCTTGTAGTTGCCATTGCTGACTTTGCCTCTACCCGCCGCCTTGACTATGCCACAGCTCTGGTCTCTGACCCTCTCCGTCCTCCGTCCGCCGGGGGTGCTCCTGCCCTTGGCAGTGACGTCCTGGAGGACCGGCATCACAAGCTTGCTTTCCTGTCTGAGGCCGCGCCTTATCTCTGTTCCATGCTGCTTGTCCCTGAGGGGGACCCAGATGCCTTGACGGCACAGGAGCTCTGCTGGCTGACCTTCTTGCTCACTGACTTAGGTGAGCGGCCTAGCTCTGCCCCGGTCCTGTACGCTGACAACAGGGTCATGATCCTCCTGTGTCAGAAGCCTCAACTTGAGGGCAGAGCGAAGCACATTCAGCTGCGGTACTTCCTCCTGCGCGAGCTACAGCAGCGTCGCCAGGCTAGCGTAGTTCACTTAGCCTCCAGTGCCAACACAGGTGATATCATTACGAAGGCGCTTGCGCCTAAAGATCATCAGCGGCACTGCTTACAGCTTGGTCTACTGTAGCTCCTGTAGCTTCTCACTGGTTAGGACCCTGACTATGTACTACTCCTTATATTATCTTGACTGGCCTTGTGGCTCTTGTTCTAGTGGATGGACTAGTAGTGCCGCCCTGGGTTTCTCCTATTTCTTTTGTACTCTTGCTGACTGGTCTTTGGACCCTTGCCTCAGAGGTTGGACTAGTAGTGCCACCCTGAGCTGCATGTCTTGTGCTAGTCGCTGCCCCTTGTCTAGCCTAGGGGGTGTGTGAACATAAAATGTGTATATGTTATAGGCTAGCTAGGTGCATGCTCATATGGAGTACAACCCCTTAAGCAATATACCCTTGTACTACCTCATCTTAGTCAATGGTTTCTATGCTAAGATCAACAACACACACGTCATGCGGCATCCCAACACGCATGCAAGACAGCAATGTTAGATTGTCGAGAGAATTGTGCGTTAGGGGAAAATCTCGAGGGTTACTAAGGTAGGGCTGTACCCTCTGAGAATTAAACTAACTAAGGCTATAACAAATATAAACTAGCTAGCTTATATAATTATATCTGTTGACACACCCCCTAGCCAAGATAGTGGCAGCTCATAACAAGGAAAAGTACACCAAGGCAGCACTACTAGTCTGACCTCTGCTGAGGGTAACAAGGCGATTTAGGGCTGCACGGCTAATCTGACCACTGAGACAAGAGGCCACAAGGCCAATCACCAAGTATAGCAAGACAAGCAGGTATAGAATAACAAGTACAAGCAAGTATAGTATGACTTAGGATACAAGGAGTGATGCTGCTATTGAGGCTAGACCAAACTGAGTACAGAACCGCTGATGGTCACGAGGTGCAAGTGCCTTTGTAAAGATATCAGCGGTGTTGGCCTCTGAGGCCAACTGTACCACACGAGCGTGACCGCGCTGCTGCAACTCACGCAACAGGAAGTACCACAAGTGGATGTGTTTTGCCGTGCCCTCAAGTCGAGCCTCATGACACTGGAGGATAATCGCCCTATTGTCAGCAAATAGGACGAGGGCGGTCCTAGGTGGCTCACCTAAGTCACTGAGCAAGAACGACAACCAACAGAGCTCCTGAGCGGCAATGGCTACAGCGTAGATCTCTACCTCACAATATGAGTGAGCTACCGACGATGACCTGGTGGACTTCCACGAGAATGCACCACCACCAAGACTTAAGCAGTAGCCCTAAGATGACCTGATCTTCTCCAAATCGTCGGCCCATGACGCGTCTGTGTGTCCAGTGAGCACCACTGACTCCCGTCCTCCTAGCACAAGCCCTAGTCATGATGAACTTGCCAGATACCGCAGTACCCTCTTGGCAGCCGACAAGTGGACTGGTCGATGCCTGCCTGTCGCCAGAAAGCGAGTAAGGAGACTGAGAGGGTACGCTAGATCTGGTCGCGTGCAGATTGTTTCAACGAGGGTTTAGCTTGGTATGAGAAATAACAAGAGAAAAGAAAATAGACTAGTGAAGAGAGAGAGGTGCAAGAAGTGGGTTGTCCTCTCTACATTAAGAACCAGTCAGAGTAACGCACCTGCCTAACCTACATATACATATACACAAATATGTACGTTGACACACCCCCTAGGCTTGGTAGGTGCTACTCATAGATGCAAGAGACCAGAGCAGCACTACTAGTCTGTCCACTGGTTTGAGTAGCAAGAAAATGTCTGAGCACACCACAAGCCCAACACCCCCAAGCCCAGCACCCCCTAGCCCAACACCCCCATACCCAGCAACAGCTGTGGGATTCTACAGCAGGTCGACCCCTCGGCAAGAGAGGCGGCG